AAAGGGCAGTCAGGCATTGGCACAGGCTGCCGCGGGAAGTGGTTGAGTCTCCATCCCTGGAGGTATTTAAAGGCTGGGTTGACGTGGTGTTTGAGGACATGGTTTAGTGGTGGACTTGGCAGTGCTAGGCTAATGGTTGGACTCGATGATCTTAAGGGTCTTTTCCAACCTTAACAATTCTATGATTCTATGAGAGAGAGAATGTAGAGAAGTATCACATTGTTGGTCCTAATCACTGCAATTTTATTGTATTTCTAAACATGTATGTTGTTGTTGTACTGCATAATGTTCTCAGACTTGGAATAAGGAAATATCTGTTATTAGAATGTAAGAACTTTCTAACTGACCACAACAATGGCATATTTTATAGGAATGCAGTTGTAAACATTGTAGCTAATTAAAGATTCAAGAGTCATTTGTATAAGCAACCTACACTGTAACTTGGCCATTACACTAGCTTCTGTAATCACGTTAATGTAAAAAATACCATGGAATTTGTAAATGCTAGGGACTGACTCATTGCTTTTTATATATCTGCATTCTGGCAGCCTTGTAGAGACCTTGATTGGAATTGGGACCAGGTCTTCGTTGGTGTTATGCACAGACATAAGCATTATTGAAAAATAATTTGAAATTAAAGACTTTGTTAGAATTGGTGGTTGTGTGAAAACAAGTCACTCCAAGGCCTCCCTGGACTTCTATTTTGCAGTTTTCATTCAATAACCTGTTAAGTGTGGACAGGAGATGAGAGAGTGCTGCATTCACTAGTGACTCAAAATGTATAGTGATGCCTATTGCTAGTATTCCTCCCAGCTGTACCACGGATATTCCCACATTAACATCCTTATTAGCCTTACATTAGTGAAATAACTTATAGTTCCTTTTGTGGCTTTGTTTTGGACGGGGCAGATGCAGAAAACTACAACCTCCGGCTCAAAAGTAGGATTGGGGTTCTAAAAAAGATGCCATCTGTAATGCTGAAATAATTTTGCTGTTGACATTTTTCTTAATGGCAGCTTCAGGGTGTTGATTAGATAGATATATATATTTTTTTTTTTTTTTTCCCATAGAATAGTTTGGGTTGTAAGGGACCTTTAAAGGTCATCTAGTCCCACCCCCCTACTGAGCCAGCATCTTCAACTACATCAGGTTGCTCAGAGCCCCGTCCAACCTGACCTCAAGTGTTTCCAGGGATGGGGCATCTACCACCTCTCTGGGCAACCTGTGCCAGCGTTTCAGCGTCCTCGTCGTAAAAAATGTCTTTCTTATATCTAGTCTGAACCTACCCTCTTTTAATTTAAAACCATTACCCCTTGTCCTATCGCAGCAGGCCCCAGTAAGTCTGTCCCCACCTTTCTTATAAGCCCCCTTTTAAGTATTGAAAGGCCAAAACAATGTTATCTTAATTAGGTACCTAACCAAATGTCAAATGTCTCTGATAATCTTTTTTCCTATATTTACAAACCACCTTCCCTAAATATTAAGGACTTATGGAAATAGTGTATTATATGAGGAAACTGGTGGGTTAAAAAGTTTAAGAACAAGAAAGCAAGCCCCAGTAATGATTGTAAAAACTTTAATCAGATTTCTTTATGGCTTATGCTGAATAAATCTTGCAAATGTTAATTTTAAATTACCCACAGTCTCAGGATTGTAGTCTCCTTATTTATTCCAAAGCCATATAGCGAGCACTTACAACCAATTTTTTGTGTGTATAAGGAATTTCCTCATTTGAGACTCCTCTGGGGGGAAAAATAAAAAGAAACAAACATATCTAATGCAGTTTGTGAAAGAGGTTGAGCTATGCTTGTTTTAAAATAATAAAAGTGCAAGAAAGTGTTTATAAGGGAAAAGTGGAAAAATTAAGTTCACTTTTAATAGTAGTTCTCATTTATTTTCATGGACAACCTGTGTTTTGATTTCTTCTCTGTGCCCTTCTGAAATAAGGATCATAGGCACCCTAAATACTTGCCATGGTGTGAAGCTTGTGAATTAATACAATTCATTATAACTATTGAACAGGTGAAAGCATCCATTTATAAGTCTGGCTGGCAGTTCAACTAGTGCTTTTTTAACTACTGATTTTTCTCCTGTCAGCGCTCTTGTGTTGTCCTTTCTACCGCTTTAATAGAGAAGTACAACAAATGCACATATGGGGATTTTGGTGGTGTTTTCCTGGGCTTGGGGATTATTTTTGGTGAGGCAAAACTGGCTGGTAAAACTGCTTTCTATCAGAGCTTTGACTTGCAGAGCAGAAATAACTATAGATTAAGGTTTTTGTGTATTGGCTCTTCTGTTTCTCAGGGTTATGAGGGCAGCTGAGGAGACAACATCAAGCAATGTGTTTCCTTTCAAGTTAGTACATATTAGCAAGAAGCACAGGACGTGGTTTTTTTCAGCTTCGTCTGAAGATGAAAGAAAGGTAACTTTCTTTTTCTTTTGCAGTATAATTTTGCTTGAAGCAGAAAGCGAATCTTGGACTTCCCTAAAATCTAAATGAACTGGATGCGCAGCTGTCAGTGGAATTTGTATACTAGTTCTTTGGGCTCCTCTGAAAATCATGTCTGAAGTTTTAACTATTAGTGTTAGTTCAAGTTGTAATTTAGGAAATGGCTGTAGGTGACATACCAGATGTCATGGCTTTCTCCATATTGCTCATTTTATTTTTAGCCAAGGAACAAATATTTGTATGTTAAACCTTTTGATAAAGTATGAAAACTGTTCAGTGCAATCTCTCACCCATAAACATACTATGAACAAGTACCTGGCTTTAGAAGTAACACCTTGAAATTTGCAAACTGAAAGTTTAATATTTTAATATGTTCTTACAGCATTTTAGATAGTCAAAACACTTTGGTAAGTCCTCTCAATGCGTATATAAAGTCATGGATAAACACTTCGTTTAATGTAGATTCCTTGCACGGTTACTCTCTTCTTACAGAGGACAGATACTGTGCATCTTTGTTTAATGATTTAAAGATGTATGTGTTGAATGTCGTATTTTTATTCTTTTTTAGAATTGGATGCTATCCCTGAGGAGGGAAATTGATCACTACCATGAGAAGAAAGAAACAATAACAGAATTCAGGTATCAACCCTTAATCTTTATTTGCTTTTTATCCCTTTTGCACTAGCTCTTGACAATGGTGTTTTAGGCTCTTTGCACTTACAAGTAATTTACTGTTAAATAAAAACAAGTGCGGTAAGGCCCAAGAATGAAAGGCCTTCCTAACACACAGTTTAAGGAATACCAAGACAAAATTAAATCTTTTTACTTTACTTTAGAGCTTTAAATGTCAGCTTTTTGTAAAACAAATAAAAACTTTAAAATGACAGTGGGAATATATCTGGCTGTTCATTGGGAAATAGGAATAGATGGCTTCTGCTTTTCCAGCATTCCTTTCCAGTGCTGCAGTCCTGCTAACAGACATGTTTACTGTCCCGAGACCCATAGCACAGTGATGCAGAAGGTACTCTGCCTTTTCTTTTGCAGTGACTCTGGTTCTGATGCAGACAGTTTCTATGGCTCGGTAGAACGTCCCATTGATATCAAGTATTCTCATCATTCAGCAGATAACGAAGGTGACAAATTTAGACACTGATACATAAGACTTATTTGCTTGCTTGTGTCTTCTGGATTCTGCAGGAACTATTCCCATAGCTTAAGCAAACTGATCCAATTTGCAGCTATAAATTCTTGTTTTTACAAGGTGTGTAGTTGTAAATCAGAAGCAGATATTCTGTGCCATAAACTATTAGTAAAAATAAATGGTAACTAAAGAAATTCAGATCTTCCAAGGAGGTGTCTGACACCCTAGTAATACTATTTAAAATTTTTAGTAAGACTGCATGTTGGAGAGTTTGTAGATCTAGCAAAAAGATAAAACTTTTTAGTATGTCTGTAGATCATAGTGTGGAAATACAAAGTGGTCTTTATTATGATAATTGAATATTATTGACAATAATTGAATATAATTATTATAATAGGATATTAGTCACTTTAAAAGTATGTTCTGAAAACATGCAGAGACAATGCAGTAGAACATTGTGGAGCTAGTTACCTCCTATCCAGACTGTAAAATTAATTCACCTGTCCTACAAAACAAGCAGTCAGCCACACTGGGATGTTGTTGCATCTGTGTTGTAGTCTGTTCAGTATGAAACAGAACTGATCATCCCTCCCGTTCAGGAAGATCTCACATTAGGCGTAGGATGGGCCTATGTGAAACACAAAGGATAGCATTCTTCAATGACTTTCAAACTGAGTAACTTTTTAAAGTAAGGCTCTGAAAAATCTCATTCTTAGCATAGCCTTTTTTATTCAAAGTTTGATACCTGTTCATTGCTGTAGTTGTTTCACAGTAAACAGTTCTGGCTGAGTGTTTATTTTTTAATTAGAAGCGAGGACATTACAGAAAGCCTGTCAGATGGGCATTCACAGCACATTTCAGCAACTGACTTCCTAGTCAAGAAATGTGTTAGTAAAATCCAACGTGAGAAGCCTTGCCTCGAGGTTCAACATAGTTCCTTTACTGGGCATTTTCCCCTATGCCCTTTCAGATTTCTAAGGGCAGGGTTGATTGGAGCAAGTGCTCTCATTTCCTGAAAGGAAATTCCTGACTAGGACAAAAAGGCAGGAGTGAGTCTTTTTAGGAAATCCGATTCAATTGCTGCAAAGCAGAGGAAAACAGACTCATCAGCATTTCATCTAGGATTGTAGTGTAGTACTTCAGTGTTTATGGGAGGGAAGGGTTGTATGCGATATGAATTATGTGAAGAGGCCTAGCAGGAGTTTAAGTTAGGAAAATTAGAAGAGCTAACTGATTTTTATCAGATACTTTTTTTTTAATGCGTTTCTCTGGGGAAATGCTGCATATTGTCCTTGAGGCTCCTATCATAGTCAATGATGAGAAATTACTACCTAGAAGTAGCATGTTCTTCATGTCTTGATTATTCTGACTTACAGTTAAAGGCAACATTGAAACCATTTAAGCCATTTGTTGTGGTGCATTTTCTTGTTGCCAGAGCAAGGCAAAAGAATTAATTGTTTTGTAGATCGCTAGGCTTGCTTAGGCTTCTGTATTGCAAAATCATCATTGTTTCTGTGTTAGGGTTAGGTTTTGGGGATTGTTTTTGCCAGTGCATCCATGCAGTTGTGTCTCTGCAACTGATTTGAATTTTTCTCAGGAAGGCTATAACACTAGAAAGTGCCACTGGAAAGTAAATTTTAACTTGAAAGATGGAAAAAAATTTAATGCGCAGTGTAGCTCATCTCCCGCTGTTGTAAGCAGTGGCTTTCTTAATTGACATCAAACATTAAGGAAACACCTATTCTAAACAACAGAGGTGGACCAAAATTTTTTTCACTTCTTTAAAACAAACAAACAAAAAAAACCCCAAACCCACCAAACTGAAAAATATTTGTTTATTAGAAAGCATTAAGTACTCAATACTCTTCTCTTGGTTCCAGGAGTACTTATCAGAGTCTGACATATTTATTTTTATCTGCAGATTATGACCAGGAGGAAGAGGATGAGTCTTACTTGCAGCCAGATACTTCTGACATAGTGAAAGATGGTACGTGACTTCTTTCATTCCCTTCACAAAAGGGCCCATGAAAGGCTGCCAGTGAAGGCAATATTCATGTAGAACGCCAGATTATTATTTTGGCTTGGTCATATCTTAAGCATTGCAGGTGGTAAAATAACTGAAGTAATGCACAGGTATCTAATCTTGAGAGGTATTTAGGGTCAAAAGTTCCTAGTAACAGCTGTAACAATTCACAGAAAGTGTTACATGCCTTAAAGGGCATGTTTTATTGCAGGCCTCCTGCTCTGGAAGGACCTCTATCTGGTCATCGGTCTGGAGGAAGGGTAATGCTTTTAACGTCGTCTCTCTTTCTTTATTTTTAGCAAAGGGAAAAGTCTTTGCGAAGTCATCATAAGCCATGCCTGAATAAAAATTGCAGGAGTTTACTACACATAACATTCAGAATTGTGCTGAAAGTTAAAAGCTTGTCTAGCGTTTTGGGTACTATCAGACCAGATGCCAGTGAGATATCTAAATCACACAGAAAATAAATTTGAAAAGCCTCTCTTCTTGACATACTGTATTTCCCCTCACTCTGTCATGTTTTTTGGATGTTTTCTTTCTGTAGATATGGTCCTGCCCCCAGCTTACCCGCCTCCACCGGTTCCTCATGTCAGAAAAGCTGCCTACTCAGAATCAAGGGCAAATTCCTTTGCTGGCAAATCTACTGTGCCAGCACCACCACCGCCTCCTAAAAGAAGCTTACCTGATGTCAAACTAGATGATTTCTTAAACAGCAGAGAAACCCAGTTACAGTGCCGAGGTGAACCTAATCTAAAGATTCAATCCTCAAGCCGGAGACTAAGTGAACAGATGCCCCCTGTACCCCCTCTACCTCTTTTCAAAAAGCCTGCCTGTGTCAAAGAAACTTGCTCATTGCCTGCAGAGCCTCTGCCTTTAGCTCAATTTCTTGCTACTCCAGAAGGATGTGAGAAGCTAAAAACCTTAAATCTTTCACCGCGAACTCCTCCTCCACTACCAAGCAGTAAACCCAAGCTGTCACAGTTTACTGAAAAACCAGTAGAGCCCAAAGTGCCAAGAGAACATGGTAAACCTGGACTGTTTGTGCCACCAGTGCTCCCAAAGCCACCTGTGCCAAGCCACCAGCCCCCTGGAATCAAGCCTAGACCAGAGAAGTCTTCATGTCCCCAGTTACAGTAAGTATGAAAGGACAATGCAGTATGAAATTTTTCCATTGTGTATTAGTTAACTCATTGACAGACATATTTCTCAGATTCACATCAACATCTGTTTCTCTTCTCTGCACCATCCCTCTCTTCCTCACAGTGTTGTGCTTTTTTGCCTCTGTATTTTTTATTTGAAAGTTTTGCAATGAATGTAGTGTCTGAAATAGTTCAGAAAGAAATAGTAGTTAAACTAAATTAGAAAAAATTTACACCAAAATTTTGTGGTGCATTTGTTTTCAGGTCTGTCTTAAAGACTTAAAGCCTTTGATCGCAGTGAATAAGAAGCCTTTATGTCAGACCCTCAATGAACTGCAAAAACAATTTTAGGCTTCTGTGGAGATAGGAAATGTGTTTCAATCTTATATTAAGATCAGCTCTAGTAAGGGATGTAGTACTAGTTATGCTGGTGAGTCAGATGAAAATATTTTTGTCCATTGGATCATTTAGCAGCTCTGAAGTACAAGTAATAAACTCTTTAAAGGCAGTGCAAGGAAGACACCGATATGCTGGAGCGAGTCCAGTGGAAGGCCACCAAGATGCTGGGGCTATAGCACGTGATGTATGAGAAGAGGCTGAGAGAACTGGGTTCATTCAACCTTTGGGAAGGCTTAATGGGAGATCACTGATGTCTGCAACTACTTAATGGGTGGGTGCGGAGAAGACAGAGCAAGACCTCAGAGGCCTGCAGTGATAGGATAAGAGGCAACAGGTAGAAGTCACAACCTGGGAAATTACAGCTAGATATTAGGAAAAACTTCTCACTGTGTGGATGGTGAAACACAGAACAGGTTGCTGTGGAGAGGCTGTGGAATCTCCTTCCTCGGAGATACTCAAAACTTGACTGGACACAGCCTCCTGAGCTACCTGATCTAGTTGAACCTGCTTTGTGCGGGAACTTGGACTAAATGATCTCTGGAGGTCTCTTCCAACCTAAATTAATCTGTGATTTGGGGGCTAAACTGCAACTTACTCTTCAGTTCTAGTTTTATTATCCCTTCAGTGTTTTGTGTATATTTGTTCTGTTTTCCTGTGGAGATGTCCTTCAGTTTTTGTTCTGCTTCTGCCAGGAGATCACCACCAGATGGACAGAGTTTTAGAAGCTTCTCATTTGAAAAACCAGCACTACCCTCCAAGCCAAACCAACCTGATGATGATTCTGATGATGACTATGAAAAAGTAAGATCAAGCAGATGATCCATTCTTAAAGAGTATTTTTCTTGCTTATGTATACTTGTGGAAACACTTTAAGTGCATATTTCAAGAAGAAAAAAAACAAAAACAAAAAAAACCCCAAACCTTTCTGAAAACACAGTGCTGTGTGATTTTTTTTTTTTTTTTTTTTTTTTAGGGAATGCTTTAATAAAGTCTGGTTTTTATATTATGATTTTCTTTCAATTTTTTTCCATCAGATTTAAGACCTACTGTACACAGCATTACTGCTGTGTGATTTTTTTTTTTTTTTTTTTATTTAAGGAATGCCTTGATAAAGTCTGGGTTTTAATATTAGATGTAAAGAAGGAAAAACCGTAAAGATTAAATCACCATTAATAATTACAGATACTGATGGCTGTATCTTATTTGCGTAACAAGTTGCTAGTATTTTGAGTTGTCATTGACTTACACGGTGACTTATTTTCTTCATATTTTTTTACAGGTTGGGCTGCCTGCTTCAATATTTCTTAATACCTCTGAATCCTTTGAAGTTGAAAGGTAAAATGTGACTTTAAAATAGTTGCTTAGAAGTCCTACAAAAACCTGCACTGAACAGTAGTCCAAAGATCATTTTGATAGGTACAATTTGTATTTAAAAACACAATAAAAGTATTTAAATACCTTTAATGTGGAAATCACTTTTTAGGGGAGTTAGTTCAGTGCTTATTTATCCAGTTCACTGCTTATTTATCAATTGAAAATGCATACTACTTGCAAAGTGATTTTGCTTCACCTGGAGAAGGTTATTCTGCCAGGATGTTAGATGGGACAGAAAGCCAGATCTTCTGTGCTGCATTGCTGGTTCAGATGCTAGAACAGTGAAGTTCTTTCAGCTATGATGTACTATGAATTATTACAACTGAAATACAGATTTGTAATAAGAATTTCAAGAATCTAGGCATTTTACTTATCTGATACGGAAGATGCTAATATATGTAATTGCTGTATTATTTTTAGGACATTTAAAGCTAGTAGCCCACGGGGACAACCGCAAAATGGATTGTACTGTATCAGAAACTCATCTACTAAGCCTGGAAAGGTAACTTGCAAGTGCTGAATCTACCCCCCAAAAACCTTTTTGATTTAGAGATACTATATCTTGTATATGACGAAGTACTTAACAATTTACATGTGCTCTTTCCTTCAAGCGAGGAAATCTGAGACAATCACTATCATAACTGCAGTGATTTTTTTTTTTTTTTTTTTTAGGCTGGACTGACTAATTCTTTAATAATACATTGACTTAGAAATGCTTATTATCAGAGACTGAAAATGTTGTTGCATTTTTCTTCTTCAAGGTATTGGTTGTATGGGATGAATGTGCAGAAAAAGTGAGAAACTACAGAATCTTTGAAAAGGTTAGTAGCTGCACTATGTGTGCATCTGTATATATGTGCCTGTATACACGTATGAATTTCATGTGTGTATATATGTGTGTAAAGTGTGCATGTGTATAGGTATATATCGGAACTAACAAGTTTAGACTTTAACTTCTTCCCATTCTTAAAAGTAAAAATAAGCTGATTTACAACTATCTGGTCTAGGATGAGAGTTCAGGTACTCAGATCTGGGCTTTCTAGTTGCTATATTGTACAAAAGACAACATAGCTGTAAATGTTCACATATAAATTTCAGCTCCAGTCAAATCCTAAGGGAAGGAATATTAAGTTCCTGAGTTTAATTTGGACTTATTTGTGTAACTAGTTTGCAAAGCAGTAGCTTGTCTGAAAGAACTATTTAGTTCTGATGATGATGGTTTGGGTTGTTTGTTTTTTTTTTTTTAAACATTGAGTTGGAAAACTTACTGTCAATGATTACATATGGTTTTGTTCTACAACAGGATTGCAAGTTTTACCTGGATTCAGACATCATGTTTTTGAACATGGGAAGTTTGGTTGAATACTATAGCACTCATGTCTTGCCTAGTCACGACAGCCTGATTCTTCAGTGTCCTTATGGTTACTCTAAACCAAGGTGACAGGACTGGCATAATTCACTGACACTTAAGACAACTGGGTTCCCTGCTGCCCTTGAATTAAATGTGGACTCCTGCCACTGCTGGACATCCCGCTCTTTGCACACAGAGACCGCGTCTGTTTCAGCCATTTAGTCTCGCATGAATTGTATATAGACTCCATTTAATGAATTCTTGGTAAAACCTTACAATCCGGATCAGTGGATTTTACAGTCTTTTCTTTTAAAAAGATCTGAACTGATTATGCTGTGAAAGCTGTCCATGATACCTACACCTTTTATAAAACTGCTGCTATTACTATATCTCCTTGGAATGTGGAAGATGGACACAAACAAAGAAGTGGTCTGAATACAACCAATACAGAAAAGGGAAACTTCTGAAAGTATATCAGAAGTCACTTGTGACAGGGAATACTAATACTCTGACTTGAAGGTATTACTCCTTAAGTCATCACTGGTGCTCAACTGAGAGTTTTTGTATCACTTATATAGTTGGTGTGTAAATAATGAAGACTTCTATGCAAATTATTTGGTTTACTCTAGGTAAAGATGATCAGGAAATGTGGCTTTTTTTTTTTTTTTAAGCCACCTCGTAGTAAGTGTAACTTCTGATTACAATGTCTGCAGTAATCAATATCGGGGTATTATCCAACTGATATGGTTGTGGCACCCCACATATTACTTAATGACATGCACTTCGGGTAGGCGTGGAATAATATTGACTTGGCTTTCATGGCAGCCCTGTTACGTAGTTCTGAACTGGAAGTGTAAGTGCCACTAGTATTTTTAATGGGTATGAGAAAAGAGGAAGGACTACTTAAGATTAAGGGGGAAGGGAGGGAGTCTCTTGAATACCCTAAATCCTGACTAGCAGTTTTTTCTCACATTGCCATCATCAAAGGTTCTTTAAAACAAAGCACAAAATAACCCCTGCAACCATGATTGTGATGCCACTGTCACTCCATAAATCTTTGTGGTCAGTCTCTTAGGATCAGGTTGTCAGCCCATTGCATTCCGTTCTGCTCTGTGGCAAAACATACTGCCCTAGTCTACTTTTTGTAGTTCAACAAGATTTTTTTCCATTATTACAATCGTTACTCAGTTTGTAGTTGCGTGCAACATAAAATCCATTTTTAACGTACTATCAGTGACGGGCCTTAGCAGGGTGCTTGTGATATTTGTTCCCTAATATTTTGGGGACAGGTATCCTAAAACCAAGGGCTTGGTATTCATGCCAAAATATCCTCTTCCTAAATTTGAATAAAGAGGAGAAATTTATTTTAATGACCTGTTAAGTAACAGAGTTGATTCAAAAGTACTGTTGTAATGGTCTGATATCTCTAATAATGTTTACAAGACTTGTAATAATAATAATAATAATTAAAAAAAAAAAATATCCTGTCCCTCCTGAAACAGGAGAAGGTATCTAGTTTCTATCAGTCTGAATCCATATCCATAAGCTTAATTTTTTCTGTTACCTTTTCAATGCTTATACATGTCAGTTTTAATCTTGTTACAGTTAAATGGTCATGACTTTAAAAACATAAACAAAACCATTAGAGCATAAGAATTTTCTGTTTATGAAAACAGTAAACCAGGATTTGATCCCTAAGGGATTTTCCTTAATAATGAGATGTAATATTGTGACTGTACATAGGAATTGAGGCAAGAAACTCTGTCTCTTGCAGGAGAGACAGACATACACAATATCAGTCTTTTGATCTCTGTTCCCACTGTAATAGGTTTAATGTGCATAAATAATATGCAGTACTTATATTCAACAGAATCTGGAATGTTGGATATTTGAAGTTTCTAATTCCTTTTATTTCAAATGGGTATCCCTGTGGTTCACTACCCCAACATGATCCACTCTGTAAAGAAGGCTCAGCCGACAAAGCATTTTAAAAGTATTTTTGGCATATAGATATATGTATATCAGAGCAAGTACCAGTTTCTTGCAGTATTTACCCGTACTGTTTACAGAGTAAACTTTTCTTTGTCTGGGAACAATTGACTTCATTGTGTCATGACAGTCATACTCGCAGTATGCTATCTTTGGGGCCCTATTCAGATACTTAATTTTTTTTTTTTTTTGCAACAATGTATTCTGAAGATTTTTAAACTGTAAAAATACTTATGTAATCCAATACATATAAAACATAACACTGTCTTTACCTGTGTAATACAAGATTTGCAAATATGTAAATTTTTGTGTTAATTTCCTTTTTTATAAAAATGTATATAAAGTAAAAGAAACATTTATATAAATGTTTCTGAAGTGGATAAACTTTCAATGCCAGTTCACCTAATTTTGTGCCGTTGTCTTTAACTTCATGGGGTGTGTTTTAATGCTTTTCCTTGTAGTTGTGTTAAATAGTGCTTGATTCTTCTAACCATGAAGTTAGAATTAGTTTTCAGCCTCTGTAAGAAGCAAATCTTCATGTAAACAACACTATTAGAAATTTGGCATTCTGGTCATCAGACAGTGTGGCTGGGGATGCAAATTCCCCATCTTCTGTTTACTTCAAAGTTTTTCCGGAGTGCAGGGTTGAGGACTTGAAGCATTCATTTTATCTATGGCCACAAAACGCAAGTATGACCATAATAAAAAGAGCATCTCGGAGGAACAGGAATGTTTGAGCAAGAAAGCCAAGCCTCCAAAGGTGTTCTTCAGGAGCTTGCTGGGGAAAAGAGGACCTTCCCATTTCCTAGCACCTGATAGCCCTTCTGCTCAGAAACGTCAGTGTAACCTGGTAGGCTGACATCTGTAGGTTAGTACAAGTATGGTAGGCTTACAACCTAGTAGGTTTACATCTCTGATGTCTCTGGAATTCAAAGCAGGAGGTACAGATAAGGACGTGCTAGCTAATCTCCTCCTTCCAGAAACAGGTGGAAGGGTTCCAAACAAATCTGCAATCCCTTACACTCCCTCTTCTAAGTCATCTTGCTCCTACATACTATCCTAGTCTCTTTTTTTACACAGAATTAGGTGAAGTTTGAATTTGCTCAGAACTTCAGTTTTTACAAGGATGCGAATAAGCGGTGAGAGTAGTCACGGCCTCTGGTGCTTCATGCTTTGGGAAGTTCAAAAGGGCTTTACTGTGATTATTTTGAATTTGGGGACATCTGCTGGTCAGCCTGTTCCAGGCAGGGTTCCAAGCAACAGGAACGGAGCTGCTAAGCGTGTGCACAGAGTCATTTGAGTAGAAATCAATCCCAAGTGACTTCGGATAGAAGCTGGAGATTAAAGCTTAACTTCAGGTGGAAACTTGATGGGCCAGGTCTTTGAAACTTAAGACATCTTTTGGCTCATGTTTCTCACATAAGTAGCAATGTTATTTAGCAAAATCATCTGAATGTCTTTTAACCTAGATGACAATGAAATTAATTGGATTTTATATTCCTGTGTTTACTCTTAAAATATACTTTGAGGTAGAATTTACATAATGGACATCTGACCACAACCTAAATTACCATGAAGCATTAAAGAGTTGTTCTGAACACTAAACACCTAGCAGCAAGCAAATCACGTGATGTCGCAATAGTTTCTACCTTACTAAATAATCAACTCTTTGAAGTCAAGGAGTTTGTTTTTTTTTTTCCTAGCAATGGGAGTGTTTGAGATGACCATGAGTACAACCTCTTAAATAGGAGAGCTCATAGTTCTTTTACTACAAATACTCAAAGCACCAAAAATGCTACTGAAACTTTTAGAGTAGGTAGCGTTTGAGCTCACTTCAAAACTGGATGAACCGAAGTGATTAAGTTCAGTGGGCTTAGGGTATGTAGTAAGTCTTGTAGCATAGCCAGCCCCCAAATCTGTTCCTTCAGGACTTCCATCGCTGTATCTTAAGTACAGGATGGTCATTACTATCCCTCACCTGTGTCTCCTTCCTTACAGCACCTAGTTGCCAGGGCAATGGGTAATCCAGCCTCTCAGGCTCGTGGCATGGCCCTAATGGGCAGGTAATCTTAAGGATATCAAAGAATCATTTTTAACATCATTTTACTCACAGATATCTCTACTGGAGTTGGTTTGCACAGAACTGTTTGCAGGATTAGATCTCTGGATATATAAAACCAGGGAAAAGCATCTTTGAGTTACCACTTTTTAACAACCATTTCATACTAACCCCCTCTGCGTACGCTCTCGGCACAGCTGGGTCTTGCATTGGGAGGCTGGTATGCGCTTAAATTCCGACCTCGAAAGCTTTTTGCATGGATGGAGTTTTGCACCTGTACTGAAGGCCAGTGATGTGAAAGGTATGTTTACATTTTCCATGTAAACTTATTAAAGGGTTTTCTTGCGGGATGAATAGGGCAGGATGTACCAGGTATGGCCTCACAAGCTGTCTGCTTTAGGCTTCAGTGATTACGTTGTGCTTTAATTTTACACTGTGCTAACATTCATGCTTATTTATTTTTCCAAGTAAATGCCAGCCGCACCTTAACCATGGCAGTACTGCTGAAAATGTGCCTTATTAAAATTAAATGTGATTTAAAGGAATTCAAAATTTGATATTCTAATATTACAAAGCTTCTCCCAAGATTAATTTTCTCCTGTCTATAGTAATAATTGAAGTATTAAATAATTTAAAATATTTTTCTTATGCTTTTTAGCCCTCCTCATTACTTTGAACTTGCCCAGGTATCTTTTTTTTCCTTTCTTTGTTTTACTCTCCTGGGTCTGTTTTTAAGTCCTACCTTTTCAAAAGTTCCAACTTCTGGTAGTGCCACTTCTCCTACAACCAAGGATGAGGATGTCATTAGAGAGCAGCTAAAACCAATCTCGGCAGCTCTAGTGCCACCGGAATTAGTACAGAAGCAACTTGTAGAGAACATCATACATCTAGAAGGCACACGATGCTTAGGAAGTCATAAATGTTGCCATTAAAAGAATCAGCCTTACTTGGAAAAGGATTTTGGAAAAACAAACCCAAAGCTCCCCAAAGAGCGCGTTGTAACGTTGAAAGAGAAAGTTGTTTGCTTGATTTGCTTTTGGCTAAAGCAATCATTGCATCTTTGGTTGTGTTTCATTGAAACTGTTATTAACCAGCTTGAACCATGAAGCGAGATTTACATTTAATCTCAATTGTGTATAAAAATTTCTC